AACGTGCATTACTGTTATAACACGGCTTTATAATATCGCACGTAAACACATATTGTTCAATCCAACAATTAACTATAAATTATCGTTCCTTGCATAATCAGCCTTTTATGATACGCAAACCCGAGCGAATTTTCAGCGCGCAAACAGTGCATTTTAGACAAATTTTGCCAACAATAACATAAGTTTACTACGTGTATATACGATACATACTATAATAGAATATATTATATACACAAATGAAAAACTAGAGCGTAGTCAAATGTTGCAATGGTATAATAATTCTTGTATAATATTTGCTATAGTAGAAAATTTACAATTGGAATATTACGCGCGTATAATTTAATTTAATCAATGCAATATTACCGATATCATTTAATTTAATCGATACGATACGCACCACAAACAAAAGATACGTTTTTAAAATAATTTTGTTAAACTTTAATTTTTTAGAAAATATTTACACATTGAAAATATCAAAGCAACAAAAAATAATTTTTAATTAAAAATAAAAATGTTTTTTATAAATTAAATTTTCGAATCACAATTTTAAGCTCGTCTTGTTCAATAGAATTTTAATTAACTGTACTTTATCAGAATGTTCATGCGAGATTTAATTATATTCGTGGAATGAAAATTTGATATCTGTGATTGACTGCGAGAGGTAGAAACGTTTTCTCATCGAATGGAAAGAAGTGTGTCGCTGCGTAAAACGCGGATCATTGGATTCGTGTCGATGTCGCAATCGTCGAAAGTGCAATCACGACGTGTTCACTTCACAGGGCGGAAGGGAGCAAAGCAGGACGAAAGCGGAGAGCGCGATGGGGTAAAACTGCGCCCCGGCTACGATATCACGTCGCTCGCGTTTAAGGGGGTTGAGGGCACGCCCGTTTGCATTCGCGACGAGTATCCCGCACACGATTAAGCACCCTCGCCAAGTGCTGTTTTCTCGTTAGTCGATGCGTCTGACGCTAAGTGCGTAAGTACGCTGTGTAATCTACGAGATGCATATAATTAAAGGATCTGTGTGCTATTTATTTTTTCCGTCAAATTATCCAGAGGGAAATCGTTTTAATATTAATAAAAAATTGTTAGTTATTATTATTAAACATTAGAGAAATTGAGAAAAATTTGCATACGATGTAACTGTATGTTTTCCTTTGTTCTGATTTTAATTTTTTCCTAGTTTTATCTTTTTGGTCTATATTTTGTCATTATACGTATATTTAATTGTTATCTAAACACGCATTGCTAGGTATATCGATTTTAATTATCGTTAAATTAGCGAATTTTTGTCATTATGACATATTGTTCTTCCTAGTAATATTAACACTAATTAACGTACAATCCTCGTATGAGGATTCTAGAAGTGGTTAATGCCCTAGAGTAAATAGTTTATCTATTTATGATGTTATCGGTATCCAAGTAACACCTGCTTCTCTACGAAATTATTAATATGCTGTATATGCTTTCTATGGCTTATGACTTGCGATTTATAAGTTTGTCTGTTATTTTAAATTGTCGAGAAATAATAGAAATATATTTTGTTTAATCTCTCTTGCAAATTCTGGCGCACAATTTACATATTATTATATTTCATGTTTCATTTTTATGTTATAATTAGGTTATTATAACATTGCTTTCTATATTACCTCATTACATTTCTAAAGATATATTAATTTCAAAATTTCATCATTAAATTTTGCCGCGATTTGTGCTAATTAAAAGTCTTAATTTTTTTATATAAAAATACAAGAAACAATTTTTGAAAAGCTTTCCATACCTACAAAATTTATGTTTGTCAAATTTACATAAATTTTGAAATTTTAATAATACAATAAATAAGACTAAATACTGACACAAATAGTAAAAAGTTGTGATTTGAATTCATCTATATATATTAACTTGCAAATATAAAAGATGATCGTTTCATGTGCAACAATTTAATATTTGAGAAAATAAATAACATAGGTATACGCAATATGGAAATGACGCCATTTTGATTAATGCAAATGTCACGAAAGCATCGCAATTTTTTTCCCCAAGCACGGCAACTATAAATTCTAATTTTTTTATCGCGGATTATAAACTATCTGGAAATATACAGCTCTCGCACGCTTTTAGTAGGTCAGTGTATCATTTTATTTGCGAAAGAGCGTTCGTTCGTATAGCAAAACGCAGTTCGTTCAGCGAATGTCCGGGCTTTAAGAGAATTTAGAGCTCCACATCCCCCACAAGGAAATGATCCGTTGTCGCTTGGACGAAGAATAGTTTTGGAAAGCCCGTTTTCGTGGCGCTTACTGTCACGACGACGCCGAGACTAAATTTTACGACGACGCACAATTGTATCCTGTTAAAACTAAAATATCACCGCGCTAAGATAAAACCGCAGCTCCTTCAAACGGGACGTCGTTTTTCTTTCGTTCGCGAGATCACAATTTCTTACATCTTCGATCTTCTATCCAAATGAGCTACGCTCATCAGCAACTTTGTCTCAAATCCACAGAATATTCGAATATATAAAAATAAAAAATTCTATACAATCCTACATAAAATAAAGAGCTTATATAAAATCTTTAGTTTTACGAATATTTTTAAAATTCATGACATTTGGATATTATATTTTTAAAGCACTTATATGTACACAATATATATATGTATGTAAAAGATAAGCAATTTGTATATTTACCGTCGACAAATATTGAAAGAAAAATCGAGCCTACAAAAATCTTCCTCGATAACGGGATTAAATAAAATTACAATTGCCACCTAACGAAATTTATGCAGTAGAACCGCTTCCGACTGTTCTGCCACGTTATGCAAAATGTATCTCATCGTCGTAACTCGATAATGTCACAACGAAAAGAAAATTCGCGGTCGTGCAAGGAACGTTATTTACGACGATGCAGCTGCAATCATGCTGTCAGGGAAATCTGTTTACAGCACTGCCAACAGTGCTTGCAGATTCGCGAGTTGACTCTCTTAACTCGCAGCCCTGTAGATATGAAATCCAATAATGGAGCGTTTGGCATATATACTCCCAAAGCCTGTTTTCCACTCGCTGTAATCGCGTATTCGCTTTTGCGAAAATAAAATACTTAGGACGGGAACTCTCGCTTTTAGCGTAACATTAGAAAAATTGTGGAAAAATTCAAAGTTGTACATGAAATTAAAAAATTGCAGACTGCAGTCATTCTCTAATTTTAATAAAGCGATTGATTAAAAACTTTTAGTTTCTGAAAGTTCTTTGAAAAGGGCCAGACTACTGGCGGGTAGCTAATCGACGGTTAATGACACACGTTTTGTATAATTAAAATCGTTTCTCGTCGTCATAAAATTTGTGTGTAGCTAGTTTGATTTATGGAATGGTGCCAATAATTTCGGGATTAAAATAGATAACGGAAACAAGAAAATCTTTGCCATTTTATTTGCGCGCTATCAAAGACGAATAAACACCCGCAATACAAATATGTTCCACGCAGGTCAAAGTATTTTTTACGATAAAAACGAAGGTGTACTTCCAAGCTCGAACGATGATCCGGATTTTATTGGGTTGCTCGATAAATACGATATTTACGAGCATCGAATTGGCTGTCGACTGAAGTAACGTATAACGGATGGAACGTGAGGCCGATTTGCGGCTTAACGAAATCCTTGCTCCGTCGTAATCTGCTCGTATTCGAGGTTTTCGGTTTTACACCACAACGACGTGGCGAAACGGTAAACCAATAGGATACAGAAGTAATGAGATCGAAAATGTGGAAATCGAAAGATAGAGTCCACCCAGTCTCGAATTTTCTCTTTGTTTAAAAAAAGTTCATGAAAGGTTTGTAAAAAAATTGGAAAAATTAGTACGAATATAGCGTAAAGTAAAATATTGCAATCTTTATATCGAAACGTCAAACATAAAAAAAAAATAGAAACTTTGCAATATCCAAGTTCATAAATATAAAGACTCGTAATTAATTTAATTTTTAAATAATATAATAAAAATGTAATAGTTCTAATTTAATAATGATGAAATTTATATTTAAATTAAATTTCAAACAAATAAACGGCAGTGTATTGATTTTCATATATTGTATATATCTTGAGACAATCAATATATTTGACACATGTCAATGCAGGAAACTGGATCGTATGAAATGTCGATAGCATCAAATTGCTCAATAAATTTAAAAACACAGTTGAATTTAATTAATTACTGAATTATTTTCATATAAAATTCTGCTCGTTTTCAATGCGTTTTGCGACGACGCTCAAACATTCGTCGAACATCCATATTAAAACGGATAATGTCACGGTTGCCATTCAACAGCATAATATCAATAAATAAAGGTCGGACAATATCGTCGCAGTAATAATCGAACGAAATTATTGCAAATTACCATTTTATTCCGTAATTTGGTACGCGATCGTAACGCGTGACGCAAATGATTTGTGACGTTTACTCGACAGCGATGTTATGTTGCATCAGACTGACACATACACTTTCCGAGAAAAATCAAATCGACGTGTGTAATGTAATGTCAAACATGCATGATTATCTTGCAATACATATATAACGCTTATCTCTTTGTAAGAAATAAAAAGCAATTTTATAAAGTGAACATTATTAAATATTTTCCATTCTTTTCGCGTTTAAGAGAAAATCTTCAAATAATTTCAACTAAATCAATAAATCAAATAATTTAAATATCGTTAAAACTAATTTTATAACTTTACCTTTTTTATTTACGTGCAACATAAATTAGATTTAAAATTCTAAGAATGTATTACTATGACACGAAACTTTAATACACTTAAAAGATATATTTCAAAAAGAATTCTAATAACCGCATATATCTAAGAAATTGACGTATTGTATGTATTTGCAACATTGTCCATGCAACAGGACAAATTCCTCGCATGCTTAGAAATCTATGGCGCCGTAGAGATTCACGTCGAGGCTGCGCGAACGAGCGCTCGGAGGGTCATCGTTCATAAATATCAATGCGGCTTACCTGTACAGGGGTTCACCGCTGTCCTCTTTGAACCAGAGCACCATGGAGACGCCGTCATTCGACTCGCGGGGCTGTATATTACACGGCAGGATTGCCTTCTGACCCGCCACTCCCTGTATCGACTCCATGGGTACTGAAACACACATCAACGACTCGCTCAGAGAAATGTCCATTATATACGCCGCGAGAAAACGAAGAATAATGAAACGAGGAAGAATCGCCGGATAACAAAGAGTTATGGATTTTTTAGGCGGTTACAACGATCCCTCGGATCCCTCGAGAGGATATTTTAAAAAGACTCTTCCTGGGGATGTGTATCACATATGCTGACAAGATTTCCGACAAGATATTATAACTCCATATTTTATCAACTTCAAGATTTCAACATGCATGTTTTTTCGCGAGATATTCAAATCTCACGTGATTCTTTTTCCCAGTTACAACCTTACGATTATTTGATGTTAATATCAAGAAATCAAGTCTCCTTGTTTTTTTAAATTGAAAATTTGTATGACATTACTATTACTTTCAAGATAACACGGTTCGAGATATTTTATATAATTTAAACATGGTATCTTTTTTGCGATATTTTATTGCGATATATATCGCATATGTTATATAAGTAAAATCAGAATTCGCATAATGTATGCACATATTTTTACATATTGTATCCCTTTCTTACGTTTTATTGTTCGCATTTACAATTGCCGTATATCTATAGCGATATCGAACTAACGATGCCATTTAATCTTAATATTCTTGCAGAAACGAATATTATATTTTTATTGATGTTATATACAAGCGATATTACATTTTTATATATGGAAATACAATATATCATACATATTACGATACGTTTCAAGAGAGGGATACATATAATAAAATTATAATACTTGCGATTTAAAAGGACAGCCAGCGATAAATAGCATCGAAGGTATAAAAAAATCGGACAAATTAAAAAGGCTCCTTAAAAATGCAATTTACGACACTTTTCATCATTGACAAGCGCACACATTTCTTAGAATAAAATTCATATCGCAGATTTTTATCGAATAACCTCCTTCCATTTCTCATATAGAGACGCATGAATAACCTTTTGGCATATCTGTTTTTAATCTTTGCTTGCGGCAGAAATTTTTTATCCACATTAATATTACAATACCGTTTCATTCCAGTGTAATGAAGTGTAACCTTTGATCTTCGCGCACAGAGCGTATCAGATATGATATTTACGCTAATTAACATTTTTGCATGACATTGAATAAATATTGTCTCTGCGATTATATTCACTACGACAAGTAATTAATATTAATAAGTCTAAAAATATAAAAATATAAACATGAGATATATACCTATAATAAATCGCAAGTTATAATTCAATTTTGTCAACATATAGTAAGTTTTCATTATTAATTATTATTTATCATGTCTTTTAATTTTGTCAACGAATAAAAAGATCTACATTTATAAAGAATATCGATATCGGTATCGCTAAAACTGAAATAATCGTATCATTATTCCGACTATCGCAGAAATTTGTGTATACACTGTAAAAAAATTTTGTAAAATTACATTAAAAATATGTAAAATTACATGAATAATAAATGTAAAATTACATGATAAATAATGAAAAGGTAATCATTTCTATTATTTATCGTGTAATTTTACACTTATTATTATGTAATTTTACATATTTTTGTGTAATATATTACATATTTTTTACAGTGTACAGTAGTTATAAGCGCGCGCGGAAATGCACTTAATTTGTCAACGAATAAAAAGATCTACATTTATGGCGAATATCGATATCGGTATCGCTAAAACTGAAATAATCGTATCATTATTCCGACTATCGCAGAAATTTGTGTATACGCTGTAAAAAAATTTGTAAAATTACATTAAAAATATGTAAATTACATGAATAATAAATGTAAAATTACATGATAAATAATGAAAAGGTAATCATTTCTATTATTTATCGTGTAATTTTACACTTATTATTTATGTAATTTTACATATTTTTGTGTAATATATTACATATTTTTTTACAGTGTACAGTAGTTATAAGCGCGCGCGGAAATGCACTCGCGTCGTCGCAACGAGCGCGATTTCCGAAAGTTGCGGGTGCGACTTTGCGTTTTATTTTTCCGCAAGCCCGCGAAATGAAAGTTTCGCGCGGCGCCACGATGGGTTGCCTCCTTTCTCGTCCGGAATTCGCTTAAGTCGACGTTGCACCGCTGCTCGTCTATAAGAGGACGGCCCCATGCATGCATTTTCGCGCGAAAACACGTATTGCATTTACGTTGACGCTACAACGACTTTATGCAAGTACGTGCCCTCCGTGCGAGCTGGGAAAATTCACGTAAGACTCGCCGATCTTAGCGGCAGTGCAATATACATATTGTTCATGTGCTTGTATGATGATATTTGAAACTATTTAGAATTATCAATTTTCTTGAGGAAAGAACTCGGGATGTTTTTAGTCCTGCGTCTAATCTTCTACGCGAGAAAGAAAACTTGTTGTAAAAATAGTTTCAAAAGTATTCTAATTTTGACTCGAGTTATAAATATGTTCTATAATTAAAACGCGTTTATATAGAATTTAGTTGTTTGAAATTTCTGTGTGATTGTTATTTATTCTAAATTACTAACTTTTCACTAAAAAATCTATTGTGAGATTATATACAGGAGAAAATTTTCTTCGTGTTATATATGATACATATAAGTAACAGATGGTTCAATGCAGTTCAATTTAAATTGAAAAAGAGAGAAATAAGAAGCTACATTTATAATAACAAATAGCTTATAAATCTGACCCGGGGGAAGCTTTAAATTGCGTATTACTGTACGTAGTTCACGAAGAATTAAATTCTAACTGAGCTCACATCTATAATCGCGGACGTAATCTCGAGCAACAAATAGTAATATGCGCGAGAACATATGTTACATATACATGTTACATATATGTAGAAATGAATGTATCTCAATATTTTACGATACAATTTTCTGCTTCGGAGGGATTTATAGTCGCGGTTGATATCTCGCGAAACGAAATATCGCCATCTGCCAAATAAAAGCGGCGCAGCAACAGTTGCATCTGAAGGGTTACAACGTCGTTCGTCGCGGATTTTTACGCTTCGGTGTCTCTCTTGCCGAACATGTAACCGCCCAGCCATCGATACACGGATTATATCGTATTATGGGACACTAACTCGACGACGGTCTCAAGTCCCACGAATTTACGAAACTGCGTTCGCGAGAAGTTTGGCGGAGAAAAAAAGAGGCGACCGGGATTGAACGAGAGCGACGACGAGCGAAGAACTCTAGCAGACTAGCATGCGAGATTGTGTCCTGGACAATAAAACTGACTCGGATTACATTCTAAGACGTGGTCGGGCTTACAAGATTTGCTCTCCCGCGGCGACACTCGGAGATAAAACGTGTTTTCGAGTATCGTGTACGTGCGCTCATTGCGAATATTTCACGAGAATTGTTTTATATCAATATTATTCAAGATATTTTTGAAAATCGCACAAACTTTGCTGCAGCTATGAAAAACAGTTCAATTTTTAGTTTCACTTTTTCGCGTGAAATCTTGATAAATAAATAAAGGATTTATGTACCTTTTTAGAACATTGTATTATTTTGTACATATAATTATTATTTAAGAATATTAACAAAATATAATTAAAACATTTAATTCTTATATTATTTATATCAACGATTATAAGTTTCGCAGAAAGCGCTTCGTTAAGTAATTAATAATTCGTTAAATAATTAATAATTGTTAATATTCCTGCAACTAAATTAATAATTCGTTAAATAATTAATAATTAGGAATATTCCTGCAACTAAACACGATGGTAATGATTGTTTACGAGTTTCCATCTACTTAACATCGGCTTACAACGCATCGCGGTGTTTATGATTCAAAATTAATTACGTACGCGCGAACTTCGTTACTTAATAACGGGAAAGGAATTATGTCTCATTTTAACGGAGCCATGCTGTCGGACGTGTTGTTAAGCTGCGATTTAAATTAAATTTCTCGTAGAACAATGACATTTTACATGCATGTTGTCGGACGGAAGTGCCGGCCAAGTTCTGCCGGTGACACTTCCGTTGACTGGTGTAATTAACAAAACCAGAAAACCGCAAGCGCCGGCTATTTGCGGCCGACTGTTTGAGATCACTTGCCGCGAGATTTTCTGACGGATTCCTTATTACATAATTACCTTCCTGCCAGACGCTGGCTTGAGTCTCGTGAAACCCGCAAAAGAAACCGCACAATCTTAGCTATATAAATATCACTCCTATATTCTTTATTTCCGGTCTGCAAAAGCAGGAAGCTAAATTTGTTTTTGTCTCGCCACCTGCTCCGAAAATTCGTCTATAATATAATCATGCATTCTTGTGACACAACGAAAATTCCAACGATGGCCCTCGATTTAATATTCATGACATTATATAATAGGTGTAATCTTCAAAAGAATCATAAGAATAAAATTCAACTGTGATCTTTTTAGTTATTACAAATTGAATTTAACGTAACCACTAAATAAAATAAATAAACATAAAAATTAATATCATTTATTTAAATCAACTTTAGACTGATTTAAAAAATAATATTAATGTTTTATTTATTTTATTTAGTGTATATATATATATATATACACACACAATGTCGAAATATCAATACACGTACAATTCTCACATAAATTGAAATAAAAAAGAAATGTTTCAATACTAATCTTATCCTTCGCTTTGTAGTGTCAAGGAAGACCTTTTGTAACGCCAATTGAATAATCATATTTCGCAGCATCCTCGAGCTCACAAAGCTCTGGCTGTGACACCCTCTCATGACACGGAGAAAAAGGAAGAGGAAGGGTACAGAGGCAGGGCAATTAAAATGCGGCTGGGCACAAAGGGCATGAGATCTCCCGAAATTTCCACCCCCGCACGTTCCACTTTTGTAGACATTTCTCAACCGGTAATTGCCTTCCGGCTTGCGCGCACGAGAGAATAACGGGCGCGCGCGGAAGGAATGGACCGCATGAAATATCCTTTCCATACCTTATACCCCGTAACAGCGAAACAGAGAGAAAAAAAGAGAGAGATAAAAGAGACAGCGTA